CTGTTTAAGTGATCCGCTGTACACAACATAGTAGCGTCCGATTACTCTTCTGCTAGCCACTGTATGTTGCCAGCAGAATCCTAATGAAACAGGCAGGGAGGCCGATTACCCAGTTTTTTACGTAGATAAGGGACTGCCATTTTTTCAAGCCTCGCCTCTAATGACTATCGTTCTTCTTGGGTCATGAACGTTTTGTAATTATTTATCTTGATTATTTCTGATGATTTCTAGTTTATGAACTGAAAATTGTCCCATAATCAAAGTTCAAGAATGAAAAAATTCGTAAAATCCACTGGGCGATGATCCGCAGTAGCAATAAAAAAAATAAAGTGTGTGTTTTGCTTCTAAGTGTCTGTACAAGTCGTACCCATTCTTCGAGCGTTGCAGAGGCTGAGAAACATCTCACGGGATTTTATATACGCCAGGTTCTGTCCAAAACTGTAAAACCACGTGCTCATTATCTCCAATTACCTCAGCTGCCAGTAGTTGTTTTAATAATATTACCCTAAATAATTCACTATTTAATTGTCTGCATGGCACTAAAAGTCTATGCAAATTGCGAGACGCTTTTTTAGCAATTGGAAATTGTTTTTAAGACATCTTTGTAATATTTTATATTGCATTTTCTAAAAATATTTTCAGACTGCCACCGAATACACAATCGACAACTCCACCGAGCCCCCGTCAAAAGTTCGACACCAGGTCTTACACAACGCGACGGATATGATCGGTAAGATAAAAGTTTTCGAGAGCCTTACATTTAGCCTTACAACGAAGCATAGCTAAAGTTACCTAATCCATGTTTTAGTGTCTTCGTTCTTTTTGCCTATTTTATCCAAGGTTTGTTCGGATTAATCTTTGAAACTGTTGCATGTCCCGTTGATCGTTTTCAACTTACGTAATGTTTTCATCATTTTAGGTGTCCTTTTCGTTTCTATCGTTTTCGGCTTGGCGGCCCGTGTTGCAGGAGATCGAAGCAAACCCTTCCTGGATTTTTTTAATTCCGTCGCTGATGTCGTTCTGGTCCTCATCAGATGGTTTCTAATGTAAATCAAAAATATATTTGGAAAGTTATGCTCGTGAGCGTGTTCGGTGGTACCTTTTATAAGAGAAAGAAGTAATATTTGAAATGGATGTTTTTTTAAAATAATATATGACGTCAAATTAATTTCCATCGATTTAGACAAAAAGAGCAGAATATTAATAATATTAATCTTATGAAATGTTACTAGCGAAGGACGGTGGTAAGGTTTTTTAACGAAAAACTGACTTTGAAAACCAAAAAGGGCCTTCCATTTACAACTTATTTGAAGCGTGGTTGATTTCTTTTTCTGTGATTGTTGTATTATCAGGATTCTGGAAAGCTTGGAATGTATCTCAGACAACCGAAGTTGTAACATGAACAACGGCGTTCACTTTCGGCTTTCGAAAATTTACTCCTGTCTTACTGGAAGTGAATTAATGCGTATAAAACTTCCACAAGTTAAATAAAATGACGATTTCTTATAAAGAAGATAGTGAAGTCGTCAGAAATAGCAATCAACCCACTCTACTCTGTCAAAGTGCACTTGGCCATTAAGTTTCCGTTGTTACTCGATGTTCAGTTCTTTGATACACTTGTATGGTCCGTGAGCTGGTGGACAATGTGTGATGGTTTAGATTCAGTGTTCCCATAAACGTATTATAATCGAGGATGATAACATGCCTCTGGTCTTCCGACGTGTAACATTCGAAGACGAATAAATACTAAAACTCCTCTCGAAACGAAACCTTTCCTATTTCATGTTGTGCATAGTAGATTCCAAAAAAACTTACAATTTCTTCAAGAGAAAACAATCGGAATAAGGTCTTAAAGACGAAAGTCTAAGAGATACTGTGATTTATCTGGTAAAATACATAGCAGCGTCCTCCTCATTCATGGTGGCCTACTTTTCATAATCGAAACGCACTCAAAAGGTCAACTTATTTATTTCGAGCAACCACTACGCTTAGGATTGGTACGAGTGCACTGGGTGCCTGCCAAATTGCACCGTCAGCTTAATCACGTACTTTGATACTCTTACTTTAGGATTTCAATTCTGTTGTGAACTCAGCCTTAGTTAAAATGATAAATTTGCCTTGCCGGCTAAGCTATAAGCGTTCATATTGAAAGCATACCAACTGAGCACAGGTGACGAAACGTGGCACGTGCATCACGTGTTTTGACCCGCTCCAAAAGGCCTTATCTCAATAACCAATCTCTTCGTGATCAGCTGTGTAAATTGGCATTGTAAGAGGGGCTTTTGTCTCGCTCCTTGCCAAACTATTGTTGTTCTGAAACATGCACTTGTTCAGCGAGACCAACCGGCATCGGGGCGGCGTTCTTTTAGCTAATCCGATGATCTTCATGGTGCCCAGTTTTGTGTACAGATAACCTTCTTGTAATATCGTTGACATGAGACGACACTAACAGAGGTATCGAGCAAATATTTTTTTATTTTACTTGTAGGTGCATCTCAGTAATTTTAATTCATTTCCCCACTGTATCTCCCGTAAAGCAGAACAGAACGAGCTAAAATAGTCCAGACCTGTGACATGGCCTCTTGTTCGTGCACTTACCTAAAATAATCTGTTATTGTTCAACACATCTGCATATTGAATGTGCTGCACTTACCCAATGTAATTCTGGAAGAATATTTATTCCTCTCCTAGCTAACCACGCAGAAGGTACCAGAGTCCCCTCTGAACACATCTTATATTAAGTTACGCTGGATATGCAAATGGAAATTTGTGCCCTTTCCCAGCTACCAATTCCTACAACTGTTCCACCTCTTCCTGTGTCCTTATGCACAAGAGCATTTTCCCTGTGTTTCGAAGTTCGGGGAGACTTTTGTCTAGAACACATTGTGGCGACAGTTCGTAGTCATCGGGAGATTAACATAGTTCTGTAGTGTCAAAATAGTCTAGGCTCAATGAATGGGATGTCTCGGAGACATCAAGTGTTTTTGCTTGCCAAATTCCAGCAAGGAAGACCTGTCAGTTTGGGATTCCGGTGAAAGAGTTCAGTTCATTCAGAAATTTTAATTCCAACAGATAGCAAGGCTAGATGGCCAGAAGCTGTCTTTACAAAATGGAGGCGTGTATTTTAACAAGAGACCGTATCCTGACTTAGGCTGGACTGGCTTACTTTTTTCGTTCTATACAAATAAGGGCTACATACCCGTTTCGGCTAATAATTAAAAGAAATAGTAATGTCGGCAAACACAAAAGAGACTGCAACGGCGACTTGTGGCTTATCATCCATCGTCAGTCAGTCACATTTAGACCCAGCATTACTATCTGCCTATTCCACTATCTGCTACAGGTGATGCCAAGGCCCGAGAAATAAAGCCCAAGGCAAAGGCGGAGCGGGACAAGTAAGTTCCGTTAGCGGTCGGTGAACGTTCATCAACTAGTACTAAAAAAGAGAGTTGTTTTTTATGTTCAAAAATACCCACAGGTCACTGATTATATTTTAATTTGTCCAATTCTTCATCTCTGCTATCTCTCCATCCGACCTGTCTGCCTTTGCGACTGAACGTGTGGGGTTGTGTTGACGAAAAACCGCGTTTAGTGACGATTGAGAAGGGCTGAGTTCTCAGATCGTCTAAGTGAGAAAGACAAAACTTACAGCTTCACCTCCTTGCTGGTGCCGCAAATCATTTAAGCAGTAGATTACATCACCCATGATATATTGGTCCTTAGGCTAACCCGTTATTTTAAATGTGTTTATCGCTAGACGTAATAAGGAGAGTCTTGATTTAAAATGTGGCTCAGTACTACGGCCATAACTCCGCGTAGCCACTCAGCACTCAATCCAAGCCACTGGGGAAGACGATATTGAATTAACCTCCAAATCTGCCACAAGAAAATCGACAAAGGTGACTCACTGCAAGGTCTAGTTGGAGACAGATAGTATAATTTCGATTGCAGACATATCAACAAGTATAAAACGCAAAAAACAATAGTTCCTTTTGAAAGCCATTTACAGAGTAAAATAGTTTTTGATTGATGAACAACATGCCAATGAAAACATCGCATTCTAGGCTGCCTTCAACTCACTGTTCTAGCACTTATTTTTGCCAAACTTTAAAGGCAGATTTTTTTAAGTAAATGCGCATTTACCTATTTCAATGACTGTTTATAGTTTCGATTTAAGCCATATGGGCTGATTATTAGTAGACTCTTTCGTAGCCTCCAGTTAATGTCCCCTGTTTTACTTTGTTTCTTCCCACTAGACTGACACCTGTCGGCGTTTGTTTCATGATTGCCGGCGCCATCATGCCAGTAGATGACATTCCAGGAACATTTGCCAGTCTGGGATTCTTTATTCTCAGCGTAGTGGTTGGCTCTGTGATCAACACCATCGTCACTCTCCTGCTATTCCTCGTGTGCACACGGCATAGTCCCTTCAAATTCTTCCGTCACTGTCTCAAAGCCTGGTTTGTGGCTTTTGCGACAACTAGCCCGTGAGTCTGACTGCTGCCAAATTCGCCAGGCTTACATTAAGTTAATATAGTTTGTTTGCATTTCCTCCAGTGGGCTTTTACAGTAAGAGGATACTTAAATGAGCAGAAGGCTTTTAGTAAATATGCTTGGCTTCTCAGCAATGTACCCCCTATGCCTAGTGAACAAATTTGCTCGTCATTAATCACTGCACAAACAGTTGACGTTGGGACGGTTTGAGAAACACCAAAATACTTACCGAAAAATGTGAACGAAACCTGGAGGGCATACGTCTGCTTTCGATAAATTCTCTTCGGGCCTGTTGGCAATCAGGTGATCCTGTTCATACAGAAGAAATTTCCAAGGGCCCTGTATGTGCCATAACCGAATGGCACTAACATCTTCCTACTTTTCCTGGTGCCCACCATCACCTGACGCTGACAAGAAGACGTCGAATTTAATCTGTATTTTGTCGCCCATCTTCAGCCTAGAATGTCACTATAGCATAGATGCTATGCTTGTCCGTCTAATTATATTACTTAAATAGCCTTATAAATAACTAAACCTGAGGGGCATTTATTCATCGCAGACCTATGCTTGCCTAATTTTAATTTGAAATAATTAACATTCAATTCAATACTTATCCGTCCTGATTAAGGAGCCTAATTAACATGCCAATTGAGAGGGGAATTCCAGGTTTACCTTCTGTAGTTCTCACAGCTTCGGGAAATATTTGCATAAAGTTTTTAGGAATTCATGTGGTTATTTTTTAGCCGAAACACCGTATTTTTTTACCGGAAAACTACCTCTACCTGTGCGAAGGTATAAATTCAAATGAGATCGAAAAATCGGCATTTTGCGAATCCGATTACTTAATCTTGCTCTTCATGCTAATCAGCCCGCCATTAACATCTCTTTAAATTCTGAGAGCTGTCCTCTTTTAACTGTAGGGAATCAGATTTTGATTTATTTTCAACTTGAAGTTTAATTTCCCACGTTTAGGGAAAGATGTACAAAATTATTTTGCTTACAGATCAGCCTGCGAGAGCAGTCAGCAACTTGCGAACACTTAATGTAAATTGGCATTTTCTAAATGAGCCCTTATATTCGCGTCATTCGTGACAAGCACATGTGAGACGATATCTTAACAGCAGGCTTTCCGAGATTCAATAAATACCTCCAAAACGTCGGTGCCTTAAACAGAAAAATTAAGATAGCACGGTTGAAGGTAGCAAGACAGGAAATAAAATGCAAACACCTTTGACCTGTTTTTCCTTCAGTGCCTTCTTTATCACTAAACTCTCCTTGCCTCCTCTAGCATTGTCGCTATTCCAGAAATGTATCAGGGCTGCGATGATTACGGTGTGGACAAGGACATTTCGAGGTTCACCTGTCCGTTGGTTACCACTCTGAAGGCTGACGGGCCAGCAATTTTCATCTCCAGTGCTGCTATGTTTGTTACTCAATTCACTTTGGGATCCATATCAGCTGGCACCGCAGTTGTTATTTGGTAAGTTGTAACTTTTTCAAAATTATAAAAAGATCTCGCTGGTGGTTAAAATATCGATACATCCTCAACCTCGATCCCTCGTTTCACCTCCCTATTACCCCGATGAGAAGACACAGACAAGCAATCGGAACTAGGAATGCGCACAGTGGGTAAAAAATAAAAATACGTCTACTTGTGGCGCATAAGACCTGGACCATAACTTCACGCATACTGAGTTCTATCCAGAGGATTTCAAGATCCCACGTAGACGCAGGTTCTTTTAATGGTACATTTGTGAGATTTACGTTCCGTCTGACCTAAGGATGATCGGGTCATCTGGCCAGTCAGCAGCTTTCGATGCTAAAATGTTTAGACCGTTTTGATAAGTTTGGACATATCAGGCCAATTGCAGTGAAAATTCGCTGGCTGTCTTTGAAGAAAGACTCCCGAGATATCCCTTTCTCTCCCTTTCTACTTTTCGGGCGTTTGGTTTCAAGATAGCGTTGACTTAATCTTTATATAGCCCTACGCATGTAAAAGAATACAAATAATGTTAAATTGGGCTTTGCCAATATAATGGAGCAACTGATAAACTAATATTACCAAGGTAAGAAAGGCTCTCGGATTGAGCCAGAAAGACTAGAACAATCAGTACAGATGGCATGCGTGAGAGAAGCGTTGAACTGTATATAAAATACAATTCACTACACCTTTAAGGCAAGATTATGATTAGATGTGGCTTTTTCTATGCTCGCATAAATTGCCTCCCTTCCGCTCTTTCATTTAAGGTTGTTGACTTCGGCTTCGGTTTTCGCAATCCCACATATTCCAAGTGCCAGCATAGTCATTACAATCACTATTCTTACCTCACTCGGGGTACCGGCAGAGGCTGCCTCCCTTCTCTACGCAATAGACTGGTTTCTGTAAGTTTAAGAGTTTAACCCTCTTACTTTGACTCCTTCCTTAAAAGCGCATATATCGGTTAAAAACGTTTTCAGCACTGCGGTAAGTTGGATGATCAGTACTTTATATATGTGAGCCGAAATGGAGCAATTTTGGGACACGTGAAATTCTCTGCCGGGCTTTGATGTATGGAGGGTAAAAATTGCTGATACACACAGATTTATCATTCACAACAATAGCAACTTGCAGTATTTAGACCCACAATAGGCGTTGGCATCCTTCGCTAATATGTTTTACGTGTAAAATGAGGATGGTCTGTATGGGATTGGTCACAATCTCGCCACCTATCTCAATCCTTCTTTTGTGGTGGCCCACGACGACACAACTGGAGATCTTATTCGACATGGC